CCCCAAAACCCCAAAACCCCAAAACCCCAAAACCCCAAAATATTTTTGAGAAAATGAATTATTTGTTAAGAATAAAAGATGTTACAGATGATAAGAATTGAGTAATTTTGCACACATTTAGTCTCTGATTTCCTTTAGTAAGCCAAATTTGCCCTCGATTGATAGACTAAACCAGACCACAACCTCTCAATACAGAAGTGCGAGTTTATACGATCCTACTCCTAAATTCGGGATCTGAGGGAAGATTGGCTTGAGAAGGACTTCAAATTTCACAAGTCAGTTCAGGCCTCGACTTGTTTCTGCAAAGCGGTCTCCACGTAAACACTCAAATATACCCTTGAGGTCTTCTAAACGGGTATTCATCACTCCAAAACTACTTAAGAATCATAACATTTCAATGGTGGTGCAGAACCTAGAGTATCGGGTAAAAGTTCTCCGGTCTAAAAAGTACAAAACTGATCTAAATCTCTAGAAAAATATGTACATCGATGGGCAAGCGGGTCAAGATGACACCTGAGATGGAAAAACTGAGCATTCGAGGTAAATAACGCTTTAGAGATATCTAGAGAGTTTTCCGTATAAAGTCCTGATTAAGAGAGATAAGTTAGCAGCCAAAGTCATCCAAAGGTGGTGGAGGGAGGTAGGATTAAGGGTTATGTGTAGAGGAAAGTGACTAGACAGGTCGTTCAGAGACTGAGACAAAGGTATAAAGTGAAATGAGCGATTTTGGTGCAGAGGGGTAAGTTATATGGTTGAGATCTTGTAGTGTGGAGAGGGTATATTTGAAGAAAAAGGCTAAATGAGATTAAGGAGTGAGTTTTAGGGCTTTTGGAGGGATTTTGAGTGTTTAGAAATGGAGTTTAATGTATAGGGCACAATTAAAACAAGGAAGATCGGTGTTAGGAAATGTGTTTTCTAAATTTGTACTCAAATTTGGAATGAAGAAAATTACAAATGTAAATAAAAAATTTAATCTGTAGATTAAAAAGATAGATATCCTTCTTGGAGAGGTAAATACCTCAAATAAACTCCTAGCTCGACGATCATCTCAAAAAATATGACGAAAAAGTAGACCCAGAAATCCCGAAAAATGCCGAAAATTCACCAAAACCCGACTCAAAACCTGACCAGCCCACAAACCCAAAACGTAGCCTAAATCCCCTCTAAACCCTTTTCTAGCCACAAAAACCTCCAAAACTCAAAAACGTAAGTCTATCTGGGGCTCAAAGGTCAGGCCCTTAAAGAAGAAACCAATCAAGCGGAAGCCCCTATACCCTAGCAGCAAGCGATCAACTAAGAGAGTCAGTGGAAGATAGAAGGATTTTTTGAGATTTTAAAGCAAATTTCAAGCATTTTTAATGCAATTGGGGTTTTGGGGTTTTGGGGTTTTGGGGTTTTGGGGTTTTGGGGTTTTGGGGTTTTGGGG